GTGTGGGGGGGGGGGTTTTGGTCGCTCAATGCAAAATTTTTATTGCAACATGCATTACACGTTTACCTTTTAGGAATGTCTGGAAATTTTGATTAATCATCTTATGACTCTGTGATACTAACTCCCATGGGTCTAGAAAATAAAACAGTGTCAGAGACCTTAGGATGGTACCATATTTAATTTTTTGAAAGAAATGAAAACGAGGCTGTGAAGAACAGAAGTAGTACAGGGCATTCAATAGATTGTATATTGTATTCAATAGATTTAACAACATACCGATTGTTCAACCGACAATATGTCAGCCTTGCTTTCATCTGCATTCATTTTAATTTGGTGTCTTAACCTGACTAACCTGACTTAAAGAAAAGAAGCTACCATGCCTTGATCAGCAAGCGTAACCAGTACTACGCATCTAAAGATAAATATGAAATGAAGATCTCTTTCATCACAACTGAACAAGTGCTTACCCTTAGTGTTTGAGAGCTGCTTGAGCGCACCGCTCGGAGAGGAATCATCGTGCAGCACAGCACGAAGACACAGGGCCTGACATGCTGCCATGATTTCATCACGCACAGAAGCATCGCTTCCCAGACACACACACACAGTACCTGGGGAAAAAAATGCATCCCATAAATGTGTCATTGCTGTTCTGTTAATAGTTCAGCATAAATTCCCTAATGTCATTTCAGATCATGTTATTATGTCTGACCTCTGTTTATATAGCAGAATTTGGGAGGTTTTTGTACCATTTTTGATTCCAATGAGATACGGTTTGCTGTTGTTCTTCAACGCCAGCTGCAGTTCTCCTGGCCTTGAAGTCAATAAGACATTTTAACAGTCAATACTGATTTCACAACAACAATATATTTGTAATTAGTAAATGAATATAAAAGCAGATGAACAGACTCTTGAACAATGTCTCCAAGCCTCACACCCAACTTTATGGGAACTGTCCTTCCAAGCGCTGCGAAGAGGAATAGAATTCCGTTAATTAGATGCATAATGAATCATTAAATGAACAAGAAAGGCATTTAAAAGTGATCAGGTTTTAAGGCCGTACACAAGAACACAGGCTCCTTCTGATTGGCCTCCACTGGACTAAGCAGTTGACCATGAAGCAGGTACTGATGGAGGACTATGGACAAGCGAGCCTCATTAAGGGTTTCCATAACAACAGAACGAACAGCTTTGTAATTGGCAAACAGGTGGAGAACAGTGAACAGGAAGAACAGGATGAACGTCAACCTGAATAAAAGAGCACAAATCAGTATCTGCTACACACTTCATGTAGACCGTGGCTTACATATCAGGGTGTAACTCACAATGGGTTATCTGTTACAAGCGGGATGAGTGCCAGGCTGACCAGCAGTCCTGCCAGGTTCACCAGGGTTTCCTTGTCAAGACAAAAAAGCAGAGAAATCATACACTAATCCCTGAAACCACTGACACACATACTGACTTCAATTTCCCTCACTAAGAGGGAATTTAGCTGGGAAATTCAAGAAAGAACAACTATCATGAAGTACATGAGAGAAAGTGAATAAAAACCTGGCTCCCATCTTTGGCGGAGATATCAGCCATGTTGTTTCTGCGAGCTTGATGGACAGTTAAGGCAGCTCTTGTTGCTCCACCAGCGACTCCTACAATGGACTGGAATGACAGAAATAGAGGAATATGCATAGCTAATTACTGTCAAGCTGATTTAAGGTTTAGAGGAAGATGCTGGTAATATTTTACCTTAAATATCCCAGCAATGCAGACGATTAGAGTGAAAAAAGGAGGGAAATGAGGGGCTGCAATCTCCATGAACATTGCCACGTCATTAAGAATGTCAGCGAAGAGCCTGAAAAGACGAGAAAGACATTATGATGTAAAATACTTATGAAAAGTATTACATTAAAATGTTTACTCAAACTAAAACTGAAATGAAAGTAATTAGTGTACCGTACCTCCATTTTTTGGCTTCAGAATCTAACTTGCTCCTGAAGTACAAGGTCACAATTAAGTACTATAAAACAAAACATCTTCCCAATCTGAATGGCTGGTCAAATATTACCCTTTGAGCCAAGCAAAAAGTATTCTTCCCAGCATCCCAGTTCCATCTGAAATAAAGAGGGAGAAAATGGTTAGAAAAGCATGCATTCACAAATGAACAGAAGTAATTTGTGCACATACCCCTAAGCAACCACGTTATTGTAGCTGCTGCAACTGTTGCTTCTTGATTTCCAACCCCAACACCCCTCAGTGAAGCCTGTGTGGCGAGTGTGCCAGACAGAGAGCTGGAAAATTATATATATCGGGGGGTCAGTAAGATTTGTTTTTTTTTAATAAAGAAATTATTACTTTTAAAGTTGGATTCAACTGATCAAAAGTGACAGGAAAGATATTTTGTTGTGGCAATTTTTATTCCAGTGTTTTTTTATTGCTTGAATACTTTTAAAAGCAAGTACTTCTGTACTTTTACTTAAGTAAAAATCTCTTTACAACTTTCACTTGTAATGGAGTAATATTTGGCCAGCAGTATCTGTACTTTCACTCAAGTAATGGAGTTGTGTACTTTGTCCACCTCCGGCTAAATGCAGTAAACTATTTTCACTTTTTATTGAGCAATAAATTAACTGTGGGGTATTTCTTCTGTTTCTGCCCATATTAAGAGTTAATATTTTTTAATTTTGCCAAAAATCTTTATGTTTGGCTAATGAATTTTCCCCCAACAACAAAATCAAAGAATCTTCAGCACTACATGAGTGTCAGATCTATGGCACTTGTACCTGCACAGTGTCCCAGAGCTGATACTGTACGTAATCCTCACTGACACTCTCAGGATACCCCTGTGGCAGGAAAACACTCTGGGAGAGGAGAGAGCAGTTAGTGATGTCTCAGAGAGTTTGTGTAAAGGATCTGAAAGACTTCCGTGTTTTTCTGTGTCAGTCGCGCACTTTAAACACGCCAGAGACTGAATTTCCCGCCAGTCTGCCGTGCGCTGCATCCTTCTGTCTCTTCATCCTCCCATCCTTCAGCAGGTATTTCCATGACTCCTGTGAGCCATAGCGCTCTGTGGCAATCACCCCTTCACAGTCCTCCATCTCTGCCATCTGCACATCAGTTAACACGTGTGCATTAAACACAAACGAGCCACTAAGCCAAACGAAAAACCAAAATCAATGACTTCAGGTCTTTTACTTTGAATTTTCACACTCAACTGTAACAGCAGTCTCACACATTGCACCTCATGCACATTATCTCACAAAATATATTTTTGAATAAAATAGTTTTCTGTATGTTGTCACGCTGTGTATGTTGGCATGCTAATAACTAAAATTACTAATACGTGAAGGAGTTTCTGCTTGCGTTTCAGTAGATCTGACTGGAATCGCCCACCTCACCCACGTCCCACGCTTCCGTGTTTAGACTGTATCGCTGCGTCATGAGTATGTCGCGGCTTCTGATTGGCTCATGGAATTTTACGTAGACGCAATCAAAACCATACAAAACGAGCGAGAAGATTCCCTGCTAGTAGTTTTATTAATTCATTTATTTAATTTCCTTATTTGTGTGGTTACATCATACACAACGATTTGTTTTATTTGGTTTGTAAATATTACACTTTGTTTAATTTTTGTTCTGTATAAATTCCTGCAGCAGCACTTTTCCTTTTTTTTTTTCTTTTTCTTTCTTTATTTGAATTAAATGAACAAGGAGAACAAGAGGGAGAAAATGAATCAGTGTTTGATTTTAAGCTGTCTGGCTTGTCCTGACCTCAGTGTGTGTCTCTTTGTTAATGTGTCAGCTGACCTTCGCAAGCCAGTGTTGTGTGCATGTGTCTGACAGAGAGAACAACAGGGCTGCGTTCAGCCCCGACAAAAAACGGTGCAAAACGTTTTTTAAACGGAAACGGTGGTGCGTTGAACACCCTGTTCTGATGCCGCTCTCTGATTTTCGGAGCCTGATGAAATCGGTATAAATACGTGTTTAATACTGCAAAATACGCTCGATGGTACAGTCACTGCCCTTGCCGTCCAGAATAAAAGAGAACATCCCAATAAAATGA